AGTACAGGAGGAAAAAAAATTGCAATGGGAGGATGGACTGACTCCCTGGAGACCCAAAGTTCCCTTTTCAATCGTGCCCAGCACAGTCGCTGCCCTGGGATGATGGTCTTGCTGTTTGCTACAGGGCTCCTGTAGATTAATATGAATTGATTGCACTCCCTTCCCCGCAGGACCTTGACCTCCTGGCAGGGGCTTTGCTCCCTGTGTAGGAGGGAAATGTCGGGCCCCCTGAATAGCAGAGCTGAGCAGCGGGAGGCAAATGTGGAGGGAGGAGAGCTGGCCTCGCTCTCTCCCGTCATCACTCACCTTTTGGGAACAGCAATTGCTGCAGAGTGCTCTGTCTGATGGGCAGGGTCCGCTGCCCTGCGCAGAGGCTGAGCAGGATGCGGCCCCAGCTCTGCAGGGCCATGCCAGTCCTCGCTGCAGCTCCGAGCAGCCTCTGTCGGCTGAACTAATCTGCCCGGGCACTCGGACTGTGCTTTGCAGCATCTGTCATGGGGAAGGAGCGGCCAGGAGCTTGTTACCCTAGGCAGGATTTCATGCCGACAGCTGAGCAGCCGGGGAGATGTTCATTTGGTGGTCGGGGGCTGATATCCTTCCCTGCCCCTCCGACCTTGCCCCGGTAGGATTCCCAGCTGCTGCAGACAATTCGGCATCGCCCCTGGTGTATGTTAGTCATCCCCGGCATGCTGTAATTTCCCTCTGACTCACCAGAACAGCCCCGAATCTCTCCCCGTCCCCTCCGTACATCTCCCGAGGACCCGGCTCTGGCCCTGCCAAGGAACTTCGGAGGGGAGGAGGAATTTGGGTTGTGCTGAGCTCCTGTTTGCACAGGAATGTGCACCGTGGAGGGGCCGAAATCTCTCCCATCGCCTGCGCGCAGCCGTCTTGGCAGCTCGTGCTACTTTTCTCTGCCCCTCCTCGGCGCTGGAGCTTGGGAGGGAGCACATCAGCGGGCCAAACCAGGGACCTGCCGCTGGCCGGTGGCGAGGGCCGCTTGGCACATGGGCTACGCTGGTGAGCTTGTGTTGGGTCTGACTTTTGTCTCCATGCCTTGCCATGCGAGGAGGGGCACGTATTCAACGGGTGCCTCGATTCGTTGTTTGTTTAGCCCTGTAGCCGCGTGCAGCATTGCATGATAGCTGTGTTTGCAGAGCAAATAAGGCTCTACGAGCAGAATTCACCATTTCTCTGATACTTGCAGGAGTGAATCAATGCTACCTAATAGCTAGAAGCGTGAGCCGTAACTGCTGAATAGGACTGTTCATTTTGCCTTGTAAACACAACTGTTAATCTCTCTGGGGATAAAAAAAAGCTTAAAAAAAGCATACTGTTCCCTCCAAGCCTTCCACCCTTTCAGCGGGGAAACGGGAGCAGGAGTCTGTTAAGATGGTAAGAAAAAAATGGAGCCACTTATCATTTGTGAAAAGCAATAAAGTGGTTATTGCTTGAAAGCCTTGCTTCCGAGCCCCTGCAATATGCTGAAGGAGAAAGGGGACAGTTTCATATGCTGACGAGGGCTTGTCTGTGCCTAAAATACCTGTCTCTTGAATTCCACAGCAGAGAGCCAGAGGGTTTCGCTGTAGAAATGCAAGAGAGCTTCGTGTGGATAGTGGCAGCCCGAATGCCTGTGGGAACAGTTCACTGAAAAATAGTGAGGGCGGTTATTGCTAGTGCAGCGAACGTGGCTTTGAATGCAGTTTAAAGAATCGTTAACATCTTGTCCTGATCATGTGATGAGCTTTCCTGACGGGATTCAGCTTTGGGCTCTTTGAAGTGTTTTAGCCAAGTATTTACTATGTGACTGTATTACAGTAAATGCAGATCATTCACACTGCTGGCTTTAGTCCCTGTTCCTTGGCCAAATTCCAGCCTGAGTGATTTCATTTTTGCCTGTTGATGCCTAAATTCCTTATTGCCGTTTTAGACTGCTTCTTCCCGTCGTGTCCTACCATGCAACGTCATGTTTCTGCATGTTGTTAATCAGCCGGCTTCTTCCATCCCGGAGATGACTACAGCTCAGGGGTTGCTGTAATTCCCTTCGAGATCCTTCAGGCTGTAAAACAAGTGATGTCATGGCTTTGCTTAGCAAGTGTCACTTTCTCTCGGAAAGTCAATAAATGCCTCCACTTCCTTCGGTACACTCCTGCGAAACCTGGTGGAAAACAAGAGGCAGTGGCGAGCAATTCTTGCTTTGAAATCCATGGCTGGGGAGAGGGGTGGGCTGCTCCGTTTGGCTGTAAAAGGGGATGCCTTCTCTCAGCAGAAACGGAGCTGGAGGGAGGACGAAGCCCTCACACCCCGGGGTGCTGCCCGCTGGGGACCCCCGCTGCCTGCCCCCGCGATGTGCCGCAGCCTTCTAGCGCGCCGGGCGCGGGATGCCGTGCCGGCAGGAGGGGAGGGCTGCTGCGAGCGCGTCCCGGCGCTCGCTGGGTTACGGACGTGTGCAAGGGTGGCTCAGGATGCCGCCAGCGTGCAGCTCGTTAGTGTAGCCTTCACCATAGACGTGTGCACACTTGCTCATGCCCTAATTTGAAAGGATAATCACCGGGGCTTATCTGAACATTAATGCTGAAAGATTGTCTTTTGTTTGAGCCTCGGATGTACCTGCTGGGAGCATCGCGGGTTTCCCCTGGGCTCCTGTTTCCTCTTTGGGAGTAAAACAGTGCCTGGCACAGGAGCCTCCATAGCTTTTACCAGTGCCACTGGAGCAGTGTCCGCATGCACAGCTGGAGCAAACCACTGCAGGCGGGTTTAGTTCCCTGGGTGCCTGCAACACTAGCGGCATTTCCACACATCAGCAGTGCTTCGTTAAAACTCGCTTAGCTTGCAAGGTAGGGAGCCAGATCGGAGCCACGGGCTGGGAAAATGGTCTCCAAAGCAAGTGTCAAGCTTTGCCTTTCCTTCAGAAGGAATGGCGCTGCTTGGAGACTTTATTCTTGGCCGTGAGGAAAGCACCAGCATGGAGACTTTGTTAATGCAGCGTTCACTAGTGCCAGCATCTTTGTTGTCAAAGCATGTTTCTGTAGTGCTGAGAAAACATCTGAATGTCTGAAGCCTGGAGTGGCTGTGTCTAGCATCCTCCTGCCTCGCTTTGCAACTCAAAGCAGCCTCCAGCCTCCCTTCCCACCCCCAGCCAAGTACCCCAGCCCTGATTCTGTGTACACAAGCATTCCAGTCAAGCCTTCAGCTTTGGGTTTCTGCAGCATTAAAGGTGGGAGATGGGTGGGGATGGTTGAGGGGCATGAGTCCCCAGCATTCAGGTGAATCCCAGGGATTTTCAGGGGATTGCACCCACAGCAGGGTGCCATGCCTCACAGCAGAGCATGGCAGACACGCAAACGGAGTGTTTATATTGCTGACGGATAATCTTTTAAGCTTTCAGATGCAGGCATGTCAACCCAAGAGTTCCCGTTGCCCTGGCGACACGATGCATTAGCTCCCGGATGCTGTGTCTGATCGCATCAGTCTGATCGCATCGGTCTGGAATGCGATCACCATCACCGTTTGTTTGTGCGGATAAGCCCCGAGGGGGCTGGGAAGGAGCGGGGAGAGCCAGGGAAGGGGGCTGCTCGGCTGCAGTGGGGACACCCGGGAGCGGGGGGCCGACCTGCTCCAGGGGTGCAGGAGAAGCCATGGGATGTGTGCATTGGTGCAGGAAAGAACTGCTCTGTGTAGCTTTTGATGCCTGTTTGGTACCAAAGGATGATTTTCCCTTTAAGATCCTCCCTTGGGCTGGTGGCTGAGGGTAGTATTAGAGTCCAGTGCTGTTAAATGGAAAGCCCCCGCCACACAGGCTGGAGGGTTGAGACGATAAAGGCTGGTGGAGGAGCAGCCCTACGCTCATCAGATTGGGAAGGGGAGAGGGACAGACCCAAACCTCCTCGGGCCTGGGACTGGAAGGGGCAGAGCTGGGGCTGGTTGGGGGTGAGATGCTGATGTCTGCAGGTCTGGGGAGCGTTGGCTGTTTGCTAGGTCTGTGCTGAGCAGGAGGAATAACACCCGAGTGCAGCGGGGCTGCTGCTGAAGCCCAAGCCCTGCACAGACAGCTCCTGCAGCCCTCTCCCATCGGCGCTGCTGAGCTACAGGCAGGCCTGGCAAGAGCCGAGGTAGGAAAGGCAAAGCGGCGTGTGGCTCCGGGGCGCCCAGAGCGAGCTCCCTCAGCCTGCTCGTGTGGCTGCTCAGACTCGGCACGCTTCGCCGTGTGCCCCTTGAGGGTTTTCTTCATTTAAGGGTTTTATTGCTTTAATCAGATCCCTGGCTAAGGCGATTCTAATGCCCATACAGGATGAGTCATTCAGGAGCTTGTGAGCAAGCTGTGAGCTGGAAGCATCTCCCCGTGCTGTGGCTCTCGGGGATCCCCTGGCCGGCTCTGGCTCCGCTCAGCATTTTGCTGCTGGCTCAGGACGTCTTTCTTGCAAGGGCAAAGCAGAGCCCAAACTGCCGGGGCAGAGGTGCCTCCTTGCGCAGGGAGGAGCGTGGTATTGAATCTTCTCTGTGACTGTTTACTCTTTCTTGCTTTCCTTCTATTTCTACCCTGTCTTTTCCCTGCTCCAGGCATT